TCCAAGGCCAAAGCTTCAAGCTTACATTTTTGGATATACATTGGATTGTCAATTCCTACTAATTTAGTAGGCCACGGGTTAGACGAGAGTATTTGATCTGCTGCCAGTAACTCAGTCGGTTCAAAAGGTAATTTCCACTTTAGTTATGAAAGTTAGGGTGTTTATGTGGAGGTTTTTAAATAATAGGGGAGTAAGATGTCTTTTCGCGAAACCACAAGGGGGTTTCTTGTATTTTACCCTAAATTTTGTGAAAACCCATCAATCTATATTACATGCTAATGTATATCAAGGTTTAGAAGATGCTGTACTTGCTGGAGATACAGATGCATCATTAGTTGGAAGGAGATTTGTTCTACCATCTTCATTTTCGGGTGGATCTCAAAATATGGTACAACATTTTCAGATGCGATGACAATTTGTAGGACAATTGGAAATTCAGATCTTTTCATTACATTTACTTGCAATCCCAATTGGCCAGAAATTAAACAAGAGTTGACAAGAATATCGGGACAGAAAGTTGAGGACAAACCCGATATTACGGCTCGAGTTTTTCGGATAAGACAAAAGAAATTGATGGATGTTTTAAAAATATCCAACTATTTGGAAAAGTGCTTGCAGGTACAAATTTTACTTTATTTAAATCATTAATTTCTTTCTTCCAATCCCTATATTCTGCTATACACTAAGATTACTTCCATAATGTGCAGACATCTCTGTCATTGAATTTCAAAAACGTGGTTTACCATATACTCATATCACTTTAACATTAGCTCCGGATGATAAACCCCTTACTCCAGAACAAATTGATGATATCATTTGTGCTGAAATACCTGATAAAAATATTGACACACTAGCTTATGATACGGTCATCAAGGGTATGTTACACGGACCATGTGGTGATACTTATCCAAATGCTCCGTGTATGGTGAATGGAAAGTGCTCTAAACACTATCCAAAAAAATTTTGTAGTGAAACCACTATTGATGAAGATGGATTTGTATCATACAGACATAGAGATGATCCAAGTAAGAGGGTAACTTTAATGGTTTTACATTTGACAACAGATGGGTTGTTTCTTACAATCGAGATTTGATTGTGATGTTTGATGGTCATATCAATGTCACCAAAGTTGCACGTCCAGAAATCACTAAATATCTGTACAAGTACATGAGTAAGGGGGTTGATAGAGCAAATGTTCAAATTGAGAATAACATTGTACTTGCAAATGAAAATGGTCATCGTCGTTACAGAAGCGTTGATGAGATTAAACAATACTTAGATTGTCGATATTTATCGCCAATTGAGTCATGTTGGAAGATATTTGATTTCAAAATGCAGAGACAGTATCCATCAGTGATTTGATTGCAGTATCATCTTCCTGATCATCAATTTGTGATATTTAATGATGATAATCATCTTTATGACGTTCTTGATCGTGATCACATACATGACACAATGCTGACGAAATGGTTTGAAATAAATCAGAGCGATGTTTCAGCTAGAAACTTGATATTTGTGGAGTTTCCGAGTAAGTGGACTTGGAACCAAAATAAACGCCAATGGGAGTCCAGATTGCAAGGTAGGTGTATTGGAAAGCTACCATATGCACATCCTCATTCTGGTGAGCGATACTATTTGAGAATGTTGCTGCACACAATTCGTGGTGCACGAAGTTTTGAACATTTGAGAATTATTAATGGAGTTGTGCATCTAACATTCAAAGCTACATGTGTAGCACTTGGTCTTCTAGATGATAATAATGAGTGGAACGAAACTTTAGCTGAAGCATCTACACGGGCATCTGCCAAAAAATTACGAACCATGTATTGTACAATACTTATGCATTCTGAGATAACTAACCCTTCTAATATATGGCAGCGTCACTGGAAAAGTATAACAGATGATTTGCAATATCAGATCAGAAGGGATATTGGAAAACTCTCAAATACGCATTGATGACGATGAGTTACAAAATTTGGGATTAGTTGAACTCGAACTCATTTTAATAAAAATGGTCGATCTTTATGAGATTTTTCACCAATGCCATTGCTGTCATTTGAAAATGCTGAGTTTTTCATGAATAGACTTATAAGAGAAGAGTGTGATTATGATTTTACATCAGAGCAGCAATTATTTGATAATTTATATGTAAGTTTGAATGAGGATGAATTGAAAGCATATGATTTTATTATGGAATCATACACACATAATCACGAAGGACTATTTTTTGTGTATGGAAGTGGTGGGACGGGTAAAACTTATTTATGGAGAACATTGATTGCTCGAGTTAGATCGTAGGGAAAAATTGTTCTTTCAGTTGCATCATCAGGTATTGCTGCAATACTCTTACCAGTGGAAGGACAACACATTCACGTTTCAAAATTCCTATTAATTTGGATGAGTCATCAAGTTGTTCAATCAATAAAAATTCTGACTTAGCCAAATTAATTAGAGAGACATCTTTGATAATTTGGGACGAAACTCCAATGACACATCAGCATGGATTTGAAGCGGTGGATAGAACTTTAAAGGATATCTTAAAATTGAGTGAAAATGATTTTGAGGATCGTATTTTCAGAGGAAAATTGATTGTTTTGGGCGGTGATTTTCAACAAACATTATCGATTGTTTCTAAAGGTAGGAGAGAAGCAACAGTATCAGCTACAATAAAAAAATCAACGATTTCGGATCACTGTAGAGTACTGCATCTTAAAATAAATATGCGTGTAATGAATTTACGTCATCCTGAAAATATGCGTCAGCAATTGACAGATTTTGTAAATTGGCTGTTGTCTATTGGTGAAGGAAAGGTTTCAGCAACTTACTGAATTTGGGGAATCAAATTGGATTCAGATGCCGTCGCAATTTCTTATAAAAAAATGACAATCAATCTTTGATGCGGTTAATAGATTCTGTCTATCCAAATTTGAGAAATTCATAGGAAAATAGCACTTACCTCAATGAACGTGCTATTTTGGCTCCAAAAAAATGGTGATGTTGACAAGTTGAATGATTGGACAATCACGTACCTACATGAGGGCTGATACTTTTTGCAATACTGAAGGTGACATTGTTGAAAATATGAATCCTCCTGAAATGTTGCACTCTTTGAATTTTCCTAGACTTCCAAATCATTTTTTGGAACTTAAAGAAGGAACTCCTATAATTCTTTTGAGAAATCTCAATCAGTCAGAAGGTCTTTGCAATGAACACGACTTGTCATTACCAGAATGGGGGATAAAGTCCTCGAGGCAGAAGTCATAACAGGATCTAATATTAGAGATTTAGTACTCATACCTCGGATCTCTTTAACACCGCAAGCGCACGGACTCCTTTTCAATTAAAAGGAGACAATTTCCTTTGAAAGTGGCATTTGCAATGACTATCAACAAAAGTCAAGGCCAAACATTGAAAAATGTTGGCGTTTACCTTCTTGAATCTGTGTTTTCACATAGTCAATTTTATGTTGCTCTGTCCCGTGCTACTTCGCCAGTTGGATAGAAAATACTCATTGTTAATAGCGATAATGATCCATGGGATTACACAAAAATATTGTATATCGTGAGATTTTTGACTCCCTTTGATAAATTGTGGACATCTTTGTTTAAAAAAATAGTATATTTACTTCATATTATATGTACTATATATGCTTCACACTTTGACATTTTGTTTGTACTTCTTTGAATTTATGTTACTTGCTGTCTCAACTACAGTGTTTAAATAATTAACCTTCATGCTATATTATAATAATTTACAGATATTTGATATACACCTTTACTCTATCAAGATCCTTGCGGATATATATAGAATATAAAGATTAGATTGTTTCGATTAATAAATATGGCCATATATGGAGTGCTTCAATATTCGGGATGTATCAAGATGCTTTTTGTAGATGATCAGGTAATAATTAAGAGCATATGTTATTTATTATATTGAATATTAAATATTTACTAATCTGTTGAAAACTATTAGAAATTTGTCATGCAGGGAGTTATAAGAGTCAATAATATGATAACATTTTCACAGATCATCTCCATGAAGGCAAGGTATACTGGTTTCAAAATATATATGTAATTCCGACAGATCTTAAATATCAGCTTACATCACATCAGTACCAATTATCATTTGGAAACGATATGAAGATAGTGAATATTTTAGATGATTGTGGAACCATACCCCGTTTCAAGTTTAATCTGGTCAAACTAAGAGATACAGAACAGCACATGGACAATGATTTGCAATTGATAGGTATTTCATTCATAATTAACCATACTTCTATTTAAGTTGTATATTTGAACTGGTATTAATTATACTTTTTGATCTTTTGCAGATGTAATTGGTTTAATTGTATCTGTTGGTTCACACTTGACAAAAGGTTAGTTAATAGATTCAATATCTTTAAAATATTTTGTATTCTACAAATTTTGATTTATGCTTACCAAAATTCTCTAAATAAAGTTTGACAGTAGTTCAGTTGACTTTTTGTGATAGATTTGCAACTGATGATGGTGAACACTTGCGTCAAACTGTTACAAAAAATAATGTTTTGCTAGCCTGTGGTATTTGTGTGAGAAATTATAAAGGTAATTCAATTTATTTTCACTTTATTTTATTTAATTTTTATAGTTTATCAATAAATATAGCACATTGTGCAGGACCGTCACTTTATATTATTCGAGCAAGCAAATTGTATGTCAATTGCTACTTGAATTTTGCTCAATACCTACACTGTTGGTAAGTTTTACAAATACCAAAATATTAAATTGTTAATAATATTTCATACCCTTATGAATATGTATTTGAAAAATTTGCAGGTTTGAGAATGATAAATGTGCTCAGAATTAGTGACGTGGTTGCGGTCATGCAATTTTACAATGTCCCAAGCATTGTTGATATCAAATGCTAAGAGAATATGGATATCTGAATATGCAATTATACCTACGATACAATTTGTGAAAACTCGAGAAAAATTTTGTATAAGCTTTGCATGTATTACCTTCATTTTGCCATTAGAAGTATTATATATAACAACTAATAGATTAATTAAGTGTTTAAATTTAAATTTTACAAAAAATTATATGAATCAAATAAACATCTAGTATGCACACCGTAATTTGTGTAATTTGAATATATTATTGTTGAATAAGTTACATGTCTAGCTAATTTTTTTTAAAACCAAATGTATGAGAATCTACGAGATCAAGGAAATACAATTAAGGTTGGGAGTTAATGTGTGAATTAATAAAAATTGCAGCCCTTAGTAAGCAAATAAGTGGATATCAAATGACCTATCTAACCTCTCATCCTAGCTAATCTACCATGCGACCAGTTAGTATCAGAACCTTAGAAACAAGGCCGAGTGGAGAAACTTTGTTCTATCAACCACCGACTGAAGAGGGAGTTGGAGTGATTAGCTACTTTGGTATTATCAACCGAGAGGAAACTAATGAAAGAAAACAGAGAACGAAGCTTTCTTTCTTCTTCATACCTGAAACCGTGAGAAAGAGTGGGAGTGAAGGAGCATTTCTGGTTCCTTCCAACCACAATCGAGTGAGTAAGAGAACTAAGTGAGTGATAAGAGGAGGAAGCTAACTTACAACTTCACATATCAGCTACCATAGTGAGGAGGAACTGAAGCTAGGAGCAGAAGCAATCTGCCACTATTAAAACTTAACAAAAAAAGGTAAGAATCTTGTAACCACCCTTTTATTTCTTGAATATAACTGAATATATGGGCTGCATGTTAGTTTTTAGCAAGGAATAATAAGTTTTAACCGAAGGGAAATCTGATAAAGAAGAAAAATTGGAACTGGATTGAAAACTTGAGTTGCAGCCTGTTATCATTGTAAAATGGAAACTAATGTAAGAAATGCATGCAATATGGTTATCTCAGGTATTATAAGATTTTTAGTTGAAGAAACTTGGGGAAAAGTTGGAATAAAGTTGGAATTTTGGGTTGACACCGTAGGAAGAAAACTTGTTGGAATTTTCCAGCATCATCCGAGAGAGGGAAATGAAGAGGTTTCTAGCAGTCCTCATGAATTTTGGCATTGAATTTCTATGTTAAGTGTAATATATATATTGCATAATAGTTTGGTCTGAACATGCATGTGAGATTGGGTATAAAATGAAGAGATTATTGGAGAATTTTCTTGTTTTAAAAGCTATTGGCTGCTAAAGCCTTTCTAATATGGCCGAGGAAGGGAAACAAAGCTTTGTTTAATATTAACTTTGAATCTTTGGTTGAAAATATTATCTTGCATCTTAAAATACTCTGTGATAAGTTAATCATTCCTTGCATGTTGTGTTGGAGTTAAAACTGAAGAAAATGTGAAGAAAGAACTGAATCTTTAAACTGTCTTATGGCTGAAAGTTATAGTTAGCAAATAACAGAATTATTTTGAGGTTCATGGTGGAATTACTTGCTGAAATGGTGGGTTATCTGCTATAGTTTAGGCTGGTCAAATAATATGTTGAGTGTTTAGTGTTTAAACAAGTAGACCATGGAGCTTTGTTGAACATCTTGAATTGATATTGCTGGAAATCTTGCTTGATGACCGAAACAGTGAAGAGTTGAATTTTCCATGAAGTTTTCGAAAAATTCTAGGATAGTTTGCTGTAATCATATATATACATATAGATATATATATATATATATATATATATATATATATATAACAGTTTATACCATCTTGACCTTGTTTTGAATACTTTAAAGAACTTAAAACCTGAAGGGCTAGTGAAGTGGAACAAATAGGAATAGTATGCAAACTAGAGTCTAGTTTAGGATTATAAATAAAAAAGGGAAGAAATAAAAGTTCCACCAGCTTTAATTATTAGGATTAGAATGAAATGATTTAATCTTAGCTCAAATGTTTTATAAGATCTTAAAATTTGATATATGTGTGCATTAACCTTGTTTTATAAGCTTAGGAACTTGGGTTTTAGTTATTTAAATCTTAAATTGGTATAAGATGAGTGGCTGTATATAAATTGGATATTCACATTAGAATTATTAACTTGTCCAGGAAGTAGCTGTGAACCAAGAAACCGACTCGAGACTCAAGATTAGTTTTTTTGGATAATTGGTGAGTGTTGTCGAATGTATATGCTTAATTGATTATGTTTCTTTAAATGAATTTATGTGAGAAATGTGCTTGTTATGAATTTTACTAGTGATTTATTGTGATGTGTATATCAATGGTCTCTCGCCTTCTAAGTCGGGAGTGTACTTTATCGCACTCGATTTAGTTGAGTTCGAAGATTGATTATTGATTGAATGATATTGTAAATGTGCATGAATGTAACCTTTGGCTGAACTGGGCTCCAAAACCCTCTGTTCAACTGACTATTTGAGCCAGCAAGGGGTTTGGTCAGATAGGACGGTAGCTTTGGATAAATGTTTTGGTATAGTCAAGTACTACCTAGAAGTTGGGAGATTACTAAATTGATTGTTGAATGTAGGGATTGTTTATTGTTTCGGAGGATATAAGGGGGTGAATTGGCGGTGTAAATGCAATGATATTGAAATGATTGTCTCGTGACTCTGAAATGACAGCTCAATGACATTGAAATGGCTCCCAAGTGGAATGCGTATCCTTTTGAATGTGATTGTCCAGTGAAATATGCTCCGTTTGTTTAATTGCAATGATTTAAGTGTTTATTAATTGTTACTTGCTCGACAAACCTCACTGAGTTTTAGCTCAATCTTTTAGCTTTGTTTTTCTTACAGGAGTTGGTGGTCAGGGATCGAACGAAGGATCTTAGAAGTTAGTTTGGAGAATTTTGAGTTGTGAATCTTTTAGTGTCTTATTAAGGTTGGAACTTTTGCATTGTACTAGGTATTGTAAAAGAGTTGTATGGTTGGTTTTGGTTATCTAAATGTTATCTCTGAAGTTAATGTAAGGTTAATGGAAGTATTTATCTGTTATCTTTGAAGTTAATGTGATATTAGGGAGTCCTGACGAGAGTCAGGCAGGCGATCCGCTAACTTCTAGGGTACGCCCTAGAAAGAGGTGGGACCGTCACACAATTCCTCTCAATTAATTAAGTAACGAACGAGTATCTACATGTAGTTTCGAATTAATAATTGTAATCTATACATTCTTTAGATGGTTTTAGATTAAATATTTTCGGATACTTGCTTACATTCAAAGTATCAACATAGATAATATGTTCCATGAGTTATACAAAAATTGTGGACAACCATGTCAATCTCATTTTGCAAAAATGGTATGTATCCATTGTAATGACATAGTCGACACTATTGTCAGGTAATTATTTTCATATATTTTAAATTTTAATATAATTTTTTGCATCATACATCACAATTTCTTTTAACAGATACAATGTTAACATAGAAGTTAGAGATTCTAGTGGTAACCTATACCGCGTTCTTCAAGACAGCATGCACGATTCATGTTTCGTTGTGATGCTTCTTATCTTAGAGATTTAAAACAAAGTTATACATTATTTATATGTATATATTTTTATACAATATTATTTACAAACTATCTAAAACAAAAGATAATTTGAATTATGTATGCTTTTAATTGTCAGGAAAATTGAGGTGCATTGTTTGACCAACACATTAATTCATGCAAAAAATCGTGCATTCTTATTTATAGTACGAACTCCACAAAAATCAACAGAATTAATTAAACCCCCAATACTACTAGCGTTCGTACTTAGAGTTGATTGGTGTGAAAAATGTTCACACCTTCGTAGAAGATTATCAAATCAAAGGCAAAATGTTTGTAAGTATTTCATTTACTTATCAAATTAAATATTCAATTATATTTAATTGGACCCTTATGTCGCTCAATTTATGATATAGATTTCTATTTTTTTCAGGATCCAACTTTCATCAAAGTGATAGTTTATAAATAATGGAGATGTTTTTATCATATATTGAACTATTGTTACAATGTTTCATTTTTTTAAATACTCTCATGTGCCTGTGATTATAATATTTTACTATTTTAAATTCCTCCATAGATTGTAATTTTTTTCAAAAATGTAATCTGTTGTGCGTAGCACGGGTATTTATACTAGTTGTATTAAAAGACGTATTAAATTAAGTTACAATTATTAATGTAATACTCAAAAAATGTAATGATCTAATATACTGTATGAATATTATAAAGGAACATGAGTAGTCTGATGTAAAACCATAGCAAGATCTGATGAACATAGCAATATTTGTTAACACAAATTACTTTATGTGCAAAGATTAGAAAAATCGAAAAGAAGTATTTTAGGTTGAAAAAATATTTTTTTAATTAATGAATGATAATATGTGTATTTAATAGTAAGATTTGTGGAAATTTATCCTTAATTTGATAATGTTTATGATAGTAGTTGGTAATGTTTTATGTTTGAGAAATTATTTAGTGGGTGAAATTGATGTACAATGTGAATTTGATTGAGAAAATTAAGAGTTTTGAGTCACTATATTTTTTTATGGTATGTAATTAAACATTTAGAATAGTAAAAAATATTTTTTATTATGCTAATTATTGATCCAAACAAATTGGCAATTTTGGTAGTAGAAGCGACGATATATTTATGTGAACCTATGATATTAGATAAGATTGTAGTGATTCAAAGAAAGTTTATCTTTTATAACTTCAAGATAAGATTGCCGTGATTTGAAGAAAGATTAAAGTTTATAATCCTATCGATTGCATCTTTAGTGTTCAGTTTTAGCATGAATCATATAACCTCATGGTTGCAGCTTTACTATCCATACCCCCCCAAATACTGGTCACCTGGTACTTTAGTACATTACTATGTAGTAAATGACTTTCGAACCTATTCATTATGGTTGACTACTACACATGCAATAATAGTTGCTAGTACTATTTGTTAACATGTAACATTTTAACAAAGCAATTGGGTAGCTTTCGATAGTATTTATTAAAGTGCTTATAAGCAATTGGTACTTTTTCCACATTCATATAAACAATGAAAACAACA